AATATGTATGAACGGTGAGTGAATGCTGTCCTTGTGATGTCTTGTAAAAAAACTACCCCCAAAAAAAACCTGTATCTTGATTTGAAGTGCTACATGTTTTTTATTTTCTCATGTTTAGCTCTGTAGTTCTGCAGAGACACATCTGTAACAGGGATTCAGGAATATAAAATTTATTTTTTTTAAATCAGTCATAATTGTCATTTAAAGGACGTTTTACTGTTTACTGACATACTGCATATTGTTTTTAAAACAAGATAAGAGTCATAAAAAAACAAACAATTCTAACCTTTGAATGGGCAGAAATAGGAAACATATTTTTTTGCCTTGGGATGTCAAATTTATTTGATAGACATTTGGAAAATGATAGGCTATGTGCCCGAGCTTGGCAAGTCCCATTTACAATATATCACTGGCTGTGTTGCATATCATGGTCGGATCAATGAGCAGCTGGCTATTTCTAGTGTCAGGAAGGTCAAAGGTTGAAAGGTCAAGCACAGGTCAAAGGATATGACCTTTGTCCCTATTACCATAGACTGATGTCCTGTTTTATCATTGATTTGTATGGTCATACCAGTAATGCCGTGTTTGAAGAAATATGGATTGTTCCTGTGAATTAGTGAGTTATAAATAACACTGTTTGGGTTTCTCAGGATGAATTTTCTGTCGGCATTGTATATTTGAAGTTAAAGTTTCTGTTCAGTCACCATGGTAACCATTCAGTCATGTAATCAATATTTTGTTGAATTTTTTTTTTACATTGAGCCTTATTTTTTTTTTTTTTTTTTTTTAGTATTTTGTATTTTAGAGTTGTGCCCCTTAGGTGGGCCATGATCTGCTTCCCAAAGATCTGCGTCCTAAATTCATCTCAGTTACCATCCTTACTTTGTCAGTATTGTACATGTTTGTACATGCTGAATTAATAAACCTCGAAGACCTGAATCCACCTATGAAGATCCAGGGTAGGATAGGTTTTCAGCAACCCATTCTTGCCGTAAAAGGTGTCTATGCTTGTCGTAAGAGGCGACTAACGGGATCGGATGGTCAGTCTCGCAGACTTGGTTGATGCATGGCATCGTATTCCAATTGAGATGATCGATGCTAATGATATCAATCACTGGATTGTCTGGTCTAGACTCGATTATTTACAGACCTCCGTCATAAAGCTGGAATATTGTTGAGTGCGGCGTTAAACAACAAGCAAACAAACTAAAACCTGAATCACTATGGCTTCCCTACCACACTGACTAGACATGGCGTGGTATAATTCATGTCATTCACAGACATCCATCTGGGAAGTCTGGGTTAGCCTTGGTCCCCAGTAGCAGGTGCTTGTCCTAAGAGTTGTCTAGATCAGGTGGTCAGACTCGGTGACTTTGTTGATGGCATATCATTGGGCCCCCATGGTGTTGGCATATCGTTGTGCTCCCTCCTCACTAACTCACTCAGTTTCTAAAGTAACCACAAGTGCACAATGGCATGTGAATGTAGGGCCAGACATTTTTTTAAGACTTTACAAACCTGCTGTATAAATATAAAGCAGTGGATTTTTTATTCGTATTAAAAACTTGAAATAGTTTAAAAAACACTAAATGTCTGTCGCTATCAATATCAATATATTATTAAAAATACTATAATTAATAACTTGTTGAAATTTTATCCTAAGTATTATAAAACTCAAAAACTTATAACAATTCTAACGACTGATTATTCTTTCCTGCCTACTTAACATTTTGAGGGAAAAGAAGAAACATTTTTGGTGTTTTTAGCAGTGTTTAGTGACCTTTAAAGCTGAAAACCTCATTCTTTCCGGAAAAAACATCTGTAAATCAACAAAAAAACAAAGGCTGTCCTATAGAATCATGTATTGGATGTACATTTTTTTAAGAAGATTGCCTCCAATGTCTGACGTAGGTTCAGCTACATTGAACCCTATCAATGTCTATATTTAACACTATTCCAACAGCAAATTCAGGATAAAAATGATAGATGCAAAAGAAAAGTATTAAATGTCAATATTTGTCTGACATGCCGGAGTCATAGGGATTTTCATAATCATTCATAATACTCATTGTCAGTGAAGACAAGCTCCATGTTGATTTGTTGGTAGTTGATAAGGAAGTGCACCAACAGAGACAGTGTGTGATTCCACTGTCTGGTCTTCTAACTAGGCTAAGGCTGGTCACAGATCAGGTTGTTGTCTTGTGTGATTATCAGTGCTGTCTGCTGTGTGAGTTCATTGGCATTGCAGAAAGAGCATCTTAAAACAGAAGAAAAATGGCATCTTGTGTTATTAAGCCTGTTGTTGTCGCTGAGGAAGAAATGTTTGTTGTTTAATGCCACACTCAGCAATATTCCAGCATATGACGGCGGTCTGTAAATTAACGAATCTTGACCAGACAATCCAGTGATTGATGTCATGAGCATCGATCGACACAATTGGCATATGATGACATGCATCAACCAAGTCAGCGAGTCGGACCACCTGATCCTGTTAGTCACCTTTTACGGCAAGCATGGGTTGCTGAAGACCTATTCTACCCGGATCTTCACGAGTATGATGAAGAAATGATTAGTTTGGTAACTCTGGTCAGTTGAAGTATTTGGACATCTAGACACTCATTTATCCGGACATTTGCTTTAAAAATGTGTGTGTCTGTATAAGCAAGGTTTGACTTCATATGTATATAATAAAGAAGATTCGGGTAGAATTGGTCTTTAGCAACCCATTTTTGTCTTAAGAGAGAATAACAGGATCAGGTGGTCAGGTTCGCTGACTTAGCTGATGCGTGTCATCGATCCCGCTTGTGTAGACATTGTAGGTCAATGCTCATTTTGTCAATCACTCGTTTGTCTGACCCAGACTTGATTATTTACAGACAGCTGTCATGTAGCTGGAATATTGCTACACAACAAACAAACAAACTGTAAATAGTGTTTTTGAAATGGTTATGTTTGTTTATTTGTTATCTAGGGGACTGGGTTTGATTCCAGAATGGGTATAAGTTTGTGCTAGCTTGGCATTCACATTGGAATATAAACCTGCAGTACTTATTATACTGGAATATAAAATCAGCAGTTTATTACTTAATATCATTTCTGTAGCACATGTTTTGTATTTGGTCTGTATTATATTTGTCATAAAGGACTCAAAAGCATATTCTCGAGCCAAAAGAGGTAACTGACTATAAAAGTCCAGTTTCCACCCTTGCGGAACTAAAGATGCTAAACAGGAATTCGTGGCTCGATTATATTGATATTTTACTTTCATGTTACTTACAAAATGGCCACACCCGGTTCTAGGCACTGTTATCGATAATAAAGATCTATATTGTTATAAAATGGCTCTTACCAAGCAAAATGCATCAAATTACTTGAGCACCTTTGGATTTGGAAAATATCTGTAGACGCCAAGTTGGTGGTACAGATCCTTTGCAAGTCCTGCAATCTCCATAAAGCTGCATGTCAGTTTACGAACCACATATTGATTTCATTACGCAACTTTAAATGGACTATGCATATACTTGTTAGTCCAGCCAAAACATAACTCCAAAATTCCAGTCTAGTTCAGCAAGGATGGAAACTGGACTTTTAACTCCCTTACTTTGGGAAGATGCTCAAAAGAAATTAAACATGTTAAAGGACATACATTTTTTTTCATAAGACTGTAGAAATCGGTCATGCCATAACAGATTAAATATTGTCATAAAAAAATCTGGTGTTCTTTAACTTCTTGTGAGTAGTATATACTGGGTTTTCCAACACAGACCGAAACATGATGTTTTCACATTTGATGATGTTGCTTAGTATTAATATTTATTTGGAACTGACAATCTAAGCCAGAGGTTGATTTTAGCATAAATTGTATTTACACTATAGCCCTTTTGCATGGTAATATCTGCCACTAGTCACGTCAACATTTATATTTTTCTAGCATATCTTGTAAGCTCAGCTACTTATGGTCTGTGGGGGCACAAGTGACCCAGTCGTCTAAGGCGCCGCAGAGCTGCGTCCCTTGGGCATGCCAGAAACCCATGATTGTGGGTTCGAATCCAGGTTCACCCTGATTATGTTTCTAGGTTTGTCAGCACAATACCCGTGCTCGTGGGTTTCACCGAAGTGGTAAACGTCTGAGACCTGCATCACTTCGGGCTTTCCTCCCACATTAAGCTGACACGCCGTGATATAACTGGAATACTGGTTAAAGCGGCGTTAAACCCAACTCACTCACTCACTCATGGTCTGTCTATTAAGTTATTTCAGGCTTGTCGGCTCCAAAGTTGCGAGCAAACTACAAATAGTATTATTATGATTGTGACTTTTATTGTTATATGAGAAGTTTTACTGAAAACTCTGTCCCCTGTCAATATTGCTTTTTCAGGTTCATAAAACAGGTACCATTGACCATGTTGACGGCAAGTTGGAGTAAAACACAATGAAACACTGTAGGGAGAATAAACCATGAGCATAATGAGGGGTGCATATGGTGCAGCCCAGAGTGGTTTTTACTCCTTGCAGTGTTTTATTGTACGATAAACAACATCCACAAGTCGTTTATTTCTATTTCTTATATGACATATCCACATTTTTGTACAACCTATTAAAGGATGATGATAAGATATATAAGCTTTAAAAATATTTTCCCGGATTTTATATAATGATGACTCCCTCAATAGAATCTGACCTCGGCAATCACGTCGATTACCTGTACCTTTTCACCCAGTACGGATTGTCATATCTTTCCCCTTTTGGATGCGATTGTTTGGCCATCACATTTATCATGTTTATCAGCATTGCCCAGCTACATGTTGAAGCGCATGCCAAGCTACACGCAGAGTGCATGTCGAATCTTCAGAAATGACGTCATGATAGAACAGTGATTTGTCGTAAAATAAACCACTCTTCGTTCTTCATTGTTCTTTGTGGTTTATCGTGTAACTATCTTATATAATTGTATAATATCGTGTGTATGTCCATCAACAGGTTATGTTTTCTGCCCACAGTGTCCATAGGTGAACCTGGCCATGGCTTCCCTAGAGGAAGTTCACCGGACCAGCTCTGCATCAGAAAATGCAGCGGAAGCTGCCCTCATCGCGATGGAAAGTGGCACTGACAACGTCATCCATATTGTCAACTCGGCTGCCTCGTCCTCTACAGCCATGACACTCCCAACCATTGCACTGGCCTCGGGCAACCTCACAATTCCTGTTACTCTCGGACCCCCGGTAAGTCACAGACCCCGTGTGTTGCGGACTTCAGGATTTATGTAGGTGTTAACAAAAATAGCATATAGGGATCATTTGGTAGATACATTCAGTATGTCTGGCTATTGATACAGATCATAGAGATCGATAATCGTTAACTAAATATCGATCAGTTTTCGATAAATATCGGAGGAGTAATTTTTAGCAAATATTCAAAAAAGTCCGAAAGAAATCCACACACTTCATGCCACTGGTGAGTAGTGACACATTTATGCCTGGATTACTCTGGGAACATTTAAGTTTTAACAACAGTTGCTTTCTGTCTTTCGCAACTGACATGATTGACAATAACAAATCTGTTTTGGTAAATTTAAACTTTATTTCATCACAATTATTCATGTAAGATATGAATATGCAAAAAGATGTATCCAGGATACCAAACTAAGAGCCCTTGGGAATTGGGAATAAAATAATTTTAATCCTCCGCTATTAGTAAAGTTATTTTTTAAGTTCAAAGATACTCCATTGGGATCCCGGGTCATAATAGGCAGATAAATGGATCAGTCGGGCAGGCTATGTGACTTAGTTGATAGCGTGTCATCATACCCAAAAGGCTTGGATCGTTGCTCACTGTATTGATCACTGGATTGTCTGGTCCAGACTCGATTATTTGACGGCTTGGATCATTGCACATTATATTGATCACTGGATTGTCTGGTCCAGACTGAATTATTTGACGGCTTGGATCATTGCTCAATATATTGATCACTGGATTGTCTGGTCCAGACTCGATTATTTACGCACCGCCATCATATACATGATGTAGTTTGAATATTGCCGAGTGTGGCATAATACCAAGAAACAAACTAAATACCCAAGTTGAAAGATATTTTAACATTGCATTCAGTGCAATAAGGGAAATTATAACATCTTCCTCTTTACAGTTATTCCTGTTATCTGTGAAATACAAGTCTCCTCTGCCATGCCATCACATTAGTTCTGGCTGTAATAATCAGGAATTGGAAACTTGGAATACCAATATATGATTTTCAGCTGACATTTCCTGCAGAATTGGGCCCGAATATATACATACTTGCATACCACCTCCATATAAGGACCTTGAATAAGGCTTCGCGGATGGTTTGGTGAAAGACTACATTTTTACCATGGCAGTGACATTCTTTTTAACAAAAAACTTGCACATGTGTTTATCTACATGGTCAGCTTGAAAACAGTTGTGAGAATTTGACACCGTCTGTAATCCAACCCCACTTCTTACCCTGTAGATAAGGGATCTCAAACACTTGTTTTTATGTACGGTTTATTGTTCAGGAACCCAAGTCTGCATGAAATGTCAAAGAATTCCCAAACGGGAAATATTCATTTTCAAATTCATGTAATTCAAATTATGACTTTTATGACTTTAGGTTTACTGATAACACTGTTTTAACAGAAGAAATGTTTTTCTAGTTACAACACTTACATTAAGTTGAATACAATATTAATATTTAATATATGAATTTAAGGACATATATAGAAAATCCAACGTGGGGCAAAATATTATCTTTCCCAATCTTAGTTGGTAAACTGGTAGTTATTTTGCAATCCAGGACTATAGTTTTGCTGCCAACTATTTAGAAAAAGGTTCTATTATTTCCCTTGACTGTTTGTTTCAACCCAAATGACCTGAAATAATTGCCAATTAAGAAAAAACTCATAAACAACCTGAAGAATAGACAATGGTTAAGGAGTTTTGTCCCTTAGAAATGATTGCTTCTGTTTCCGTTTGCAATGTTTCTGAGATAATTGTGCAGAAAATGTTCAAAGTCTCTAATTGAAATACAGTGTTCCCTCGCTATTGCGCTCTTCAATATAGCGCTAACTCGGTTATAGCGCGCTAATGCGTGGCGCCCAAAATTTACTTCCATTTTTAATGAACTCAAGTTTTCAAATGACACGATGTTTTCCCCATCTAAAAAAACATTATCAGCTGATCACTGTGATCACATAACACCGGAAATACCAGTCAACAAATCAGAACTGAAATACACAATTTAATCCCACTATTATTATAATATCTGGTTATAAAAAGGTGTTTATTGCATATCTGGACTTATGTTTGTAATACATTTTATTAATTTTATTCAAAATTTCATTCAAAAATGTTCACATTAATTTCGTCGAAACCATGTGCGAAGTGATCGGTAGATCGCACAACTCAATGTTAGTTACAGCAACCCCGGTCAGATTACTGCTAATGACGCCCCAAAACGAACTTTAGTTGCCAGAGAAAGGAACCATTTTTTATACCGGTCCAACCAACTGTTTGTAATGAAGAAGGTCTAGGGACATCACTCTGCACAGCAAATTGCGGCGCTTTAGACGACTGTGCCACCTGTGCCCAGAGGGTGTTCAGTATGCTTGTAAAATGGTAAAGTGCCCAAACAATGTGTACACAAAAGGCAGTGTTGTTTTAAGCATATTTCATGTCATACTTGGGGAATATCACGAAGCGGTGAAGAATATAAAATATTTTGTCAAGGGGAAATTTTATTTTCAAAGGGAAAAATCGCCATCATCCACATACCTTCCTTGACTAATGAGAGATTGTCTCCCCTTTAGAACCAATCTTATTTAAATCAGACCTTAGTTCTCGCTACCACTAAACAAAGATCTGAAGACATCCCATTAGGGGTCACGTCAGAACGTCCTTTCATCCGACCAATGAGAGCGTCGCTTACCAGATCATGAAAGTCACAGTTGGAATGTGATTTCTAATCATACAACCTCAAAAACTTTAACCATGTTAACACGGGGTATTCCAAACAATAGTTAAGGGTTTAACGGCTGAATCCATACAATCTAGACCATCTATTAGCCATTCCAGAATGTTCTTTTGTTTAGGTTTCAAATTTGTAATCGAGAATTTGTCAAAATATGTTTCGAAGTGTAGTCGCCAATTTGAAATTAGTGCCGTAAAGCACGAGAAAGCTGCCTTCTGATTGGTCATTCTATTGGTCGGTCAAAGTTTGAGCAAGGTCGGTCTGACGTGACCTGTAATGGGATGTCCTCAGATCTTTGTTTAGCGGTAGCGGTAGAGAACTAAGGTCTGATTTTAATGAGTGAGTGAGTGAATATGGTTTTAGGCCTTTTAGCAATATTCCAGCAATATCACAGCGGGGGACACCAGAAATGGGCTTCACACATTGCACCCATGTCGGGAATTGAACCAGGGACTTCGGCGTGACAAGCGAACGCTTTAAACACTAGGCACTCGACCGCCCCTGATTTTAATGAGATTGCTTTAGAACTGATTATCCTAATGATATTTTCTTGTAGGGAGGTTCCAACATACAAGCTAACGGCACTCAACAGGTCGTAGTGTCCACTATGGCTCCTGCTGATCTGGCCGCCAAGTTAAAGGACGGCTCACTTCCCACGCAGGTCGTGCAGGTCCCTGCCGGTTCCCTCACCACAGTTGACTGGGCAGCTAAACTCAAGGTAGGGAACAATTCTTTTCCACTTGGCAAAATTAATTCAGATAATTTGCAGGGATGTCATCGTATATCGTGAAATTGATGTATCAGTAGTATTTTTATGTCGGTACTCTATCGGTACAAATTTATGAATATTGCTACCAAATTATTAATTCGCCGCCACAAAAACTGTTACATTTATTAAGAGGTTAAGACAAAAAAATTAACATTTAATGGATCAGCCTCATTCATATTTAGCATGAAATTGCTGGTCTACAAAAGTAATTTTTGTCTGTACATGTACAGAATAATTGATCTTATTATTAATTGATATATTGTAATACTCCTAAGTTGATCTATGGATACTAAATTTCCAATCATCGACACCCTTAGAACATTGTCCAATTTCTTATTGGTTCTTGTGGTAGACTTGTGTGCACAATAGCCGGGGAATGTGTTTCATGCTACTTTTGGAAAAATTCTAGCAAATCATGAGAGTTGACACCAGACATAATGTATAGGGAATAGAACTCAGGTCCTGGGTGTGACAAAAGAATGCTTTAACCACAAGACTCTCTCTCTCCCTTAAAGACAGCCTGCAACTTTAGCCAGAAGTCCGAAGCCTGAGTCTCGTAAAATTCTGTTGAGTTTAGTCTGCTCAGCTATTAATACAGGGGTAGATTTAACAACAAATTTGGATGTAGCCAGCAGGGCTTGCTCCTTTTAAAAGTTACTGGCCCTTCTCCACACTAACTGGCCATCAACTAAATTGTGGAGGCCGCAAAGTAGCTGAACCTGAAGACGCGTAGCCACCCAAGAAGGCTCTGAAAATATTTTCTTCTTGGCTTCCATTTACCTCTTTTTCTTGAGATTTATGAGCAAATAAGAAAGTTTTTGTACATAACATTACGAAATGGCGGCCGGTTGTCATTCTACTGAGATGATCCAGTTAAAAAAATAAAACAAACACGGAGAAGGGGTGAAATTTTAACTTTCCAGATAGGCCATCTACTGTACGCTTCAGCAAGCCCTTTGTAATTCTTACTGGCCACGGGCCAACAGGCCAGCAGTACAATCATCCCCTGTAATAGTCCATATATTAAGGACACTAACATCAACTGAAACATATCATGTTAAGAGCCATTTTCAGGCTTGTAGACTCAAAGACTTTTGGCAAAGTCTGTGACGACAATAGCCTGATATAAGTAGAAGAAAACTCATAACTGGTGTCTTGATGATTAGTTTGTGGAAACTGATAGAATTCTTTATTGATTATTCAGCTTAGAATAACAGGCAGACCTTGGTCCATATATTTTAATAGGAGTGCCTCCTATGTTGCGTAAGATGATGACAAGGCCACTGAGTGTGGACATTGGTGAACTACTTTCCTCGCTCAATTTTGAACCCTGTCATTTGTTTTGAACAGTCTGTGTGGGATTAATAATCTATCATGGATAGTAATAAAACAAATCTGTGAGCATAGTGCTTCATTTAAATACCTTTTGCATGGGCTGAACATCTATTATGTGTCTTTTGAATAGTATTTCAGCGGTAGAAACTAACATTTTTGGTCCACTAGTCCTTATAATGTTAATATATAGCAAAACCCTTAAAAATGGCAATTTTCTACTAGTCCTTAGGATACCTTAACTATTGGGCAGTTTGGCAAGGACTACAGGACTAGTGCCAATTTCTAACCCTGGTATTTGAAAATCTTATGAAACCAAAATGTTATTACATCAGTGGAGACCCGTGAAGATCTGGGGTAGAATTGGTCTCAGGGGTAGAAACTAACATTTTTGGCCAACTAGTCCTTATAATGATAATATATAGCAAAACCCTTAAAAATGGCCAGTTTCTACTAGTCCTTAGGATACCTTAACTATTGGGCAGTTTGGCAAGGACTATAGGACTAGTGCCACTTTCTAACGCTGGGTCTTCAGCAACCCATGCTTGCTGTAAAAGGCGACTATGCTTGTCATAAAAGGCGACTAATGGGATCAGGTGGTCAGGCTCGCTGACTTGGTTGATGCATGTCATCGTATCCAAATTGCGTGGATGGATGCGCATATCGTCAATCACTGGATTGTCTGGTCCAGACACGATTATTTGCAGACCACTGTCATATAGCTGGAATATTGCTGAGTGCGGCGATAATCAACAAACAAACGTCAGTGCCAGAAAAGCTGTGTCTCAGCTGTCATTTCACAAATGTCCTCTTCACTGTCAGCTAGCCATAACCAGCTGCCATACTAACAGTTTCGATAACCTCTGCGAGCCCTTTAGTAAATTCAACATACTGTATACATAATAAGCGCCCAGGGCGCTCTCAAAATTAGAAATAGGGGGCTCTTATTAGAATAAAATTTTTGTGAAAAATAACAGAGTTGAAAGATCGTAAATTTCATGGTTTATGCTGACAGTCTGAAGTGATACAAAAGAAAAGTCAGTGTGTATTATACACGACAGATATATTTTCCCAGAATTGCCAATGATTAAGGGTGCATATATATAACACATAAGTGCGTATTATACACGAATAAATAAGTCTTGTGTACATTGATCAATCGGAAGGAATTGGAATTGTTCAGTAGCCAATATATTTGCAAATATCGCCGTGGGCGTTATTAGAGCAGGGCGCTTATTACATCAAATCGGTATTAGCCATGGAGGTGATAAGCAAGTGTTGTGATGACATTGTTCCATGAAGTTCGGTCAAGTGCCATTATCAGCGTTCCGTTTACCGGTAATTACCAGTTTTTAACCTGTAAAATTAGGCATGGACCGGTAATTCATGTGACTCCCAGTCCCTGTGGACTGGCAAATAAAGTACCTATAAATCTTTGTTGTTGAACAAAACATCGGTGATATTCAATTAAGTACATTTTTCGAACAAAGTCAGCTTGTCTGTTACCATCAGGGTTTCCCCTTGTCTATTTCTAGGTTAAATATCCATTTGTAGTGACTTCGTCTCGAAATATTAAAAAAAAGAAGAGAAAATTGTGACTGAAGTTTGTGTGAATGACGTAAAGATCTAACTAAGTTACTTCAGAGATTACATCTTAACACTGAACATGATGTTGAAAGAATTAAAACCAAATAATTTTCATACATTTTTTTATTTGTTGATAGATGGGACTAGCAAAAATTAGGGGGTACTGGTAATTTTTAGAGTTGCCAGTCCACCGGGTTAATTACATCTACATGTATCAGATATATTTAGATGTCATCATATTTATATAACGTCACATCAAACAAAAGCTTATAGAAGCTAGACAAAAGTGTGCTTTATGAATATGTAGATGTGGAGTGAGTGAGTGAATTGTGTTTAATGCCGCTTTGAACAGTATTCTAGTTATATCACGGCGTGTCAGTTTAATGTGGGTGGAAAGCCCAAAGTGATGCAGGTCTCAGACGTTTACCAGTTTGGTGAAACCCACTAGCACAGGTATGGTGCTGACAAACCCAGGAACGTAATCTGGGTGAACCGGGATTCGAACCCACGATCATTGTTTTCTGGTGTCTCCAAAGGATGCAACTCTTTGAAGCAACTTGCGTTGCCTTAGACGACTGCTGATGTGGAATGTCTTGAAGTATACATTACACTCTCCCTACTCTTACCACTAAAGATGTTGGATACATGGTAGGGGGGACTACTTGTAATTATAGTCGCTGCAATAGTTTAGACAGAAAGTTTATAAGTGCTGGATCTATTAAAATTTTAGTAAAGTGTAAAGTTATTAAATCTTTGTTGTTTATACATTTGTGTGTTCAACACGTAATGTAGCTGGCGAACTTGTGTAGCCATAACTTGTTTGGGGTCGCCGATACTTAATATTAACACGCTTCTGCTCTGGCTAAACTTGTAAATAATCCAATCAAGGCTGCCAAGTGGGTTACATATTTATCAAGTATATAACTATATTTAACCAATGTGGTAGAAATGAATAAAGTATTGCTGACAGTCTCAAAGTCAGCCATTTTTCTCCCTGCTGCTACTCAAACCAAAGGGAAATAACTCTAATAATCTGAAGTTGACATAATCCTAGCTAATCAACACTCTTCAGGTTTGAAATTCGACTGTGTAAAAACTGAGTTGTCTGACACATAATCTATGTTTTATTTATAACTTATTGCGACTGTTGAAACCATCGCAACTATCGAAAGTGTAACACGTTACACTTTACTTGCAACCAGGTTGATATCAGACTCTTTACTATCTGAATGTAGACTGAAACATTAATCAGTTGGCCACTATGATTGGAAAGTCTCCGGTTTCCTGATGAATTTTTTGTTTGAAATTGGAACTAACAGTCCACGATGAAATTAATTCAAACAAACAGTGATTTAGTGTCACCATGCCCTGATGGTGTTAATCAATGTTCTCATTACTTGTGAATTGGTTCATGGTTGGATAATATATGAGGTGTTATAAGCCATCCATGCAATCGATCAGTCCTTATAATCATTATAATTATTAATGACTATTGTAACCATGGCAACAGATCCTTGGAAATCCATTGCAATGATGTCTTATGCGATGCTCTTGTTCTCATCATTGTTGGTTTTCCTGGGCACTGATCCACAAAATGTTCGTAACGCCATGACATTCGAGAGTTAGAGTTACGATGTCAGATCAGGGCCTGGAACTTGTAGTTTAAAACGGACATATTGTCTTTAGGTTATTAGGCTAATCGTAAAGGGTGCGCGGTATTGCAAGTATATCGGTAAATTGAGGTTTATTCATCCATTATACTTTTCACAATGTCTTATTTAAATGCTTGTTATATCAGGTGATTTCAAATAGTGATATTTATCATGTGTTTTTCTTGTACACTTGACAAATACCTTCACAATACCTCTGCAGCCGCAGGGCATGTACCCAAGATGGCTGCATGTTTATCGTGTTTATTGAATGAGTAAACATTATGTTGTACCAACATCTTGTTTTCTTCTATTTATGAACTTCATTTCATACACTGATGTTTCAGATTGCTTCTGAATTTAAAATTTAGAATTATACAGCAAAATTATGGTGATATGTATCGCAATATATTATGAGCAATGATCCAAATGTTTGGGTACGTTGACATGCCATCGACCAAATCTATGCACCTAACCACCTGATCCATTTGGCCGCCTCTTATAACCAGCATTGCTGGGTGTCAATGCTAACCTGGATTCCCCACAGTTGGTAAAAATTATGGTAAAAATGAGAAATATATTTAATGTAGTTTAATGTTTTGTTTGCAGGAGTTGCAGCATGCCCAGAGACTGGAACGACTGCGGGAAGAGCAACAAGCTGTCCGGGACAAGCTCACACAGAAACAACAGTTCGAGGCGAAATACGAGCCGTGTGTTGTTTGTGGCGACCGTGCTTCAGGTAGTGTGTACAGTTGGTAACAATCTCACAAACAAATTGAAACTAAACGATGTATGGACTTGGATATCATGAAGTATAAACATGATAAACCCTTCATACTCCTAGGGTCAAGGTCAAAGCCTAAAAAAGTGATTGTCTGTTTCAAAAGCATTTACTCTAGGTCAGTGAAAGACTTCTTGTCATTCTTTGTGAAGGCTGCAATGGGAAAACGGAAAATGTTGTGAAAGACCTTCGTATAAGGTCAAGGTTATGGTAACCATGGTGATTCCTAATTTATGTTTGCCATTTTCACAAATAGAATGCCTTTTCATTCAGATAGCTTTGAGTCTTTGCATGTTATGATTATTAATTTGAATACCAAGTAAAACTAGTGATGATATAACAATTCTAAATAGCAAATAGTTATGTTAGTTCACGGAGACCTTGCACTTTCATAACTCATTTTCAATATTTTCGCGAACATTGAAATTTGTGATTCCATTGTGTGCTGTGATGATAACGTTTTGGTTTTCGCTATGCTTGTTGTGTCAAACATGAAACAATCAACAACCTATAAATGTTGTGTTGACAGGTCGACACTATGGTGCAATCAGCTGTGAGGGGTGCAAGGGGTTCTTCAAGCGGAGCATCAGGAAGCAGCTGGGGTATGCGTGTCGAGGAGCTCGAGACTGCCCCGTCACGAAACTCCATCGTAACCGATGCCAGTACTGTCGACTACAAAAATGCCTGGCTGTGGGAATGAGATCAGAGTGTAAGCCCAACATGGTTGTCTCCCTTTGTGTGCTTTTGAACTCTATCAGAATTGAGGCTAAAAAAACATTTCTTGGTTCTCAGGCATTTGCAAACTACAAGATACACATCATGAAACTTGCTTGTCTGCTTTCAGATGGGAAAAGGGCTGACATTGGGGATAATATTTATGCATTTGCCAATGAGTTGAAGCATGATAATAGCAGTCCTGTATTACTTGCAGCCTGAAAATCAAAGAAATGTTTTATTGTCTCAATTTTTAGTTGTTTCAATTAAATTTTGTCTTTTTTTCAATTTTTCCAATGTTGCTCCTTTGACAAGATCCTATTGGTGTGACATGCGATTTGCAATTTTCTTCTGTGGTCTGTATTTTTGTTTAAAATTATCTACACACTATTAAAGGTTTTTAAACCGTCAACAGTGATGTCACTATTTCGTGTGCACCGTTCAATCATATCACATTCCACTATCAGCTTACCAAATGTGTTGGGAGCTGAAATGAATCTTTTCCTATTTAGATCTGGTTCTTGGCTGTATTTGCAATGCGTCACCTTTATTATATGAAGAGATGCTTTTCATTAACAAATCTGATATACAATTTGCCAGCATACCTGTTGGAATAGCCTCTTTTGGGGCCAAATATCATCGCATTGGCATGATTGGGAAGTGTAATGTGAAAAAAATGAAAGATAATCTGCACATCTGATTTTGGACCAGTAAGCATGTTGTAAAAACAGTAGCAGTCTGTGCCAAACACTTTAGGGTCTACGAGCCCAAACTTGCCTCCTAACATCATTATCAGTCTATTTTAGTATAATTACATTGACTATTATAAGCTTGTCTTACTAGTCTGAACAGGAGCGGTCGGGTAGCCTTGTGGATAAAGCATTCGCTCGTCACGCCGAAGACACGGGTTCGATTCCTGACGTGGGTACAATGTGTGAAGCCCATTTCTGGTGTCCCCCACCGTGATATTGCTGGAATATTGCTAAAAGCGGCTTTAAACTCACTCACTCACTCACTACTAGTCTGAACAGTTTTTTACTAGACTCAGACTTTGGACTAGTAGCTAAAGTTGCTTGAGTTGAAGAGAAGAATTTCTGATGAAATTGATAGGGGTCATACCATGTTATGGCTAGCTACTGTGTCAAGAATTTCACAAGGCTTCTTCCTTAGAAATTAATTGAACTTGTCTTCATTTTGGTAATACAGTGCTGAAACATTGCAAGACAGGATGAATTTTGTTCTGTAAACAGGAGCTGTTTAACTTTTAATTTCAGATGTTAGCGCATGACTGATTGTATGAATTCTTTAAAGATCTTGTCAGCAGTTCTGGTTGTCATGGTAACTGTTTAAAAAAATTCAAAATTATTGCATAAGAATATCATGAATATTGCAATGCATGTTAGATCATGCAGATTCAGCTTTCAGAAATGATTTTCTAGTTACCATGGTTACTACTGGCAAGATTTTGGTATTCTTTTTGTGCTTGTTACTTTGTGACAGTCTTAGAGGAGATCACACTTTTCTCAAACTTCTCAAATTAAACAGAATTTTGAATAATATATCAATATGTAGGAAAGGAATTATGTGATAAACAAGTGATAAATAGTAATCATATCATATATTTGTTATCAATAATCTTTTAGGAAATGATTGGTTGGTTGGTTGGTTGGTTGGTTGGTTTGTTTGTTTGTTTGTTGTTTAACGCCGCACTCAGCAATATTCCAGCTATATTACGGCGGTCTGTAAATAATCGAGTCTGGAGACAATCCAGTGATTGATATCATGAGCATGGATCCACGCAATTGGGATCGATGACATGCATCAACCAAGTCAGCGAGCCTGACCACCAAATCACGCTAGTTGCCTCTTACGACAAGCATAGTCACCTTTTACGGCAAGCATGGGTTGCTGAAGACCTATTCTACCCCGGATCTTCATGGGTCTTTTAGGACATGATGTGAAGCACCAGCTAGGGGCCCCAGGTTCATTGCTTGGGCCCACCAAAATTATTTCTGTTAGTCCCCTGGACTTGAAAATAAATAGATTGAAGACCATCCCTTATATATTCAAAGGGACATTACTCCATACCCCTGATTTGGTGATGCAGAAATTTGTTTACCATGTGTTTACTGGGGCCATTTTACAAAGAGCATTAATACTGTTTCGATGTATTGGAAATTTATTGAGACTAGAGTACAAACAGGCTCTGAGTCTCATTATAACTAGAATTGAGGGTTGTGCAAAAAGATAATTTTAAAAGAAAATCACAATCAATTAAAAAGTTGGTTATTGAAAATTGATAAATATTTGTAGGTCCTTTTGCAATTAATAACCGATGTGACTCACTCATCAAAATGCATGTTTCTTGATGTTGTTTTCTATGCTGATAGAGGGCTGTGAGTGTGAGTCGGAAACTGTGACCTCCTCTAGGTTTTCGATGTTCTTGTTGAAGTGTTATTTGAGATATCACTTACTGTTGTAGCATTCGCCGATAAGTCAGCAGATTTGCAAGTTCAGGCTCCTCCATATATCGAGGGTAAGAGTCGATGTTCATGGCTTTCTGTACACTACAAAATATATTGGCCACCAGCTATTTTTTCAAAATTGCATTTGGTAAGACAGAAGCTCTGTTGTTTTATTGTTTGGCTCGTGCACTGAAAAATGTTGACAGATTTCTGGTGTAAATGCTCGCCACACACCCGCTGCTTTACAATGATTAGCTTAGAACCTGTCATATGTCCGTGCTTAGACCTGAAAACCTGATGACAGTTCCACTACAAAGCCATGTCTTGTTTCTCTGGTGTTCCGCTACGAAATGTCCCTTTAGGAAGCACGGTAAAGAATAAATTCGAATTGTCGCAACATGATTTTGCTATGTCACTCTTGGTTCAAACGGTAATAAAACAATGCCAGATTATTCCAATTTATGCCTTGATTCAGTGTGCGAAATAGTCGCTGGCCTGCTTGCCCATGGCTAGCAAACTTTTGATTGGGCTAAAGATTCTGAAATGTCCCTAGCCCGACTGGCTACTGAAAGTTTAACGGTGATTTTTTTGTATGCGCGCCTCAGATGGATCAATAAGAAAAGAGTTTTTCGCATCTGGAGATCAAAACAACCATCAAAAACATAAATTCAAATTAATATCCGGAACAAATCGAGGTTGCGAGATCAGAGTTATCCCCCTTCATAATATTTGCATCAATCTTTCTGAAGGAAAAAGGGTTGCATATGTAAGTTAGTGAAATTTTGAACTGGCTTGTAACTTTTAAGGAGAGCTAGCACACCTGGCCACTATTTCTGGACAATTTCACACACTGCCTTGATTACTGACACATATTAAATTGTAGTCCCCCGTCATCACCTCAAGCCATTGATTGGAATATTTGGCTGTTGTTAAAGCTAGTTCACGAATGCCCACATCTTGCACTAAACATGTTTATTCACGTTCTTGAGTCGTTCACTAACATTTTATCAAGAAATATTTCTTTCACATTTAAGTGATGACTATCTGAAATGAGGTCAGTACTTAAGGATGCACAGCAAGAGTGGTGTCCCCTTCCTAGGATTGACCTTTGGGCAGATATGTTTCTGTAGTGTACAAAAGCCGTGTTGTTTGTGAGCCCATACTGACTCAGGTGTCTCTTTGTGTACAGCCGTGCAGCAGGAACGCAAGCCTCCGGACCAGAAGGATAAAATACAGACCACTGTTGCTACGTCTACGCAGAGGATTTACATCCGGAAGGACTTCAATAGTCCCTCAGCAGCAATCCCTACCTTTGCAGCTAAAGTGAGTTCATATCTTGGTTACTTATAATTTATTTATATGTATGCTGGATAAGGGCCCAGTTTTGTTGCTTACTAGCCCTTATTGAGGATGATGTATTTGTTACAAGGAATCTTGACTGAAACTTATTGAAATTCTGAAAATGAGACTGAAGAAGGGGTACCATGGTTACTGGATCACTGATATCATTGTTGATGAATGGCTCAGTTTCACTTGAAATGATTTTAACTTTTGATATTTGAAATTGTGTAAAGTAAGTGACTAAAGGATACTACATAAATGATACCTTGGAGATTTAGAATATTTAGGGTCAATTTCTTACAGAAAACTGTTAAGAAATTCTAATGTTTAAGTGAATCTCCATCCCCTCTCTAACTGATTCTATAATACTCAATAAGGGCTCAGTTTTATTGCATAGGGGTCCATATAGAGGATTTGGTATCCATGGTGGATCATGTCAGAAACTGTTCACCAGGGCGCCGTTGTACAAAACAACCTTAGCGCTACAACTGTCGTAAGTCTATGTTAAGGTATGGGAGTTACGATCACCTTAGCGCTAAGATCACTTCGTACAACGGCACCCTGGACCCTGTTCCACAAAGTGATTGTAGCCCTAAGATGATCGTAACTCCCATGTTTTAACATAGACTTACAGACCCGTGAAGATCTGGGGTAGAATAGATCTTCAGCAACCCATGCTTGCTGTAAAAGGCGACTATGCTTGTCGTAAAAGGCGACTAATGGGATCGGGTGGTCAGACTCACTGACTTGGTTGATGCATGTCATCAATCCCAATTGCGTGGATCATGATTATAATCACTGGATTGTCTGGTCCAGACTCGATTATTTTCAGACCGCCGCCATATAGCTGGAATATTGCTGAGTGCAGCGTTAAACAACAAACCAACCAACCAACATAGACTTACAACAGTCGTAGCTCTGCGTTCGCTTTGTGGAACGGTGCACTGGAGGGCGTGGGTTCAAATGCCAAATTGGCTCTGACTGTGGTGTGTCAGCTCCATGCCCGTGCTACTAGATTGTCCACAGCCTGTGTCCTTCACATTAAGTTGAAATAGAGTGATACACCTGAAATACTCGGAAACAATGTTAAAGCCCTCAATCTCATTAGAATCCAAACATTTACTCCGATATGATGCCTCTCTGTATGAAGACCAGAGGTCACCTCCTTTGGAGGTCGCGTCAGGTGAATCCCGAGCAGACTTGACTGCCCAATCTACATGAAGGTCGTGTCGGTTCTTGAGCCAATCAGATGTCAGCTTTCTTAAATGATTTGGCTTTATTTCATTACCACCTCTCTTCGTAAATTTGATCCGCGACAGAACCAATATATACCCTCTGGCACATCCTCTTGGGTGTGGATGCCATGGAGCTTAGAACCAACAGGATGTATTAAATATCCAGATCAATGTTATCATGGTTATAATGATAACAGCACAGCTTTTTTTCTTCGAATAAGAACTCCTTGTTTAAATTGTTTTCTGAGAAGCCAGAATGCTTGACTTACTTGTATCAAGAAATTAGAAGACTTAACACTGATTGGCTGATATTAAAGTTCACCTGACAAAATCTTCTATGGAGGTGTCCTGACTGTCCTCACTGGTCTAGTGGTAGAGCATCTGCTCGGAGAGCAGAAGGTCCGGGGGTTGATCCCCGGCCGCATCATACCTAAAGATGGTACTTGTTGCTAATGTTGACATGTATCATACCACAAATATGAAAATGCATTGATAATTTAAGGGGTTTTATTCTGTATTATAGCTAAAATGGATAGAATTATCAGTAAACCGCCCGCATGTTATCAGAAATGAGCGGGCCGCTGTAACTTGATAATGCCCTCATATTACTTGACGACGGGCTATTATCACGCCCGTCGTTAGGTAACGTCATAGGATAGGGATTGGTGATGTCATCTGGTTTGTTCTATGGCGTTTCCATATTTGTAAAAGTGGGTAAGTGACATTCATGTTGAATGCAGTAAATGTTTCAAAACTGATATTGTTGTTTCTTTACATTTGATAACAAATTCCATCCATTTTAGCAATAATAAAGGTAACGCTGTTTTTCAGGGCATTATCATTTGCAGAGGCCCTTGGTCTTTTCAACTGCCCTCCTTCGTCAGGCAGTTAATGGAAGACCTCAGGCTTCTGCAAATGATAATGCCCTGAAAAATAGCATAACCCTTACAGTATTTGAATGTAGGGGACACTTTAATCTTCAATTTTTGGTTTGTGTCTCTTTGGCTTTCATGATTAGTTTTCTTTTGCTCTGTTTCGTAAACTGTTACCATGGTTACAGTGTTGTTTTTTTGTTGTCATTTATGTATTTTTACTGCTTTTTGGATCAAAGGATCAACAGCTGCAGTGTGATGTATGTTTTCATGTGCCAACTGATTTACAAAGAGTATGACTGTGATATGATTTAGCCTATACCGACCCCTCAACAAGATTACTATGAACTCCAGAGCCCTGAGGATGGTACGGCCAAGGCGGTCGGAGGGAGCCTACTGGCCAACCTGCAGGAGAGGGTCATCCAAACTGACCAGGGCATGGTCATTCTTAGCTCCCAGATGCCTTCCACCACTGCAAACACAGGTCAGTCTGTGTTGCTAGGCAACAGTTGCCATGGTTATACTAGTGTATTAACTGGACATGTTAACTGTTGTGATAATCGAAAATGTTTGGTCTTGTAATTATTTTGACACTGGTTGTTTTGTGTCGTCAGTCACTGCAGCTAGATTTCATTTGATAGGTTGCCATGACGACAGTTACCATGTTTACATGGGTATCGTGATAGTAGGAAATGTTTGTTTATGTAGTTAAAAAGGAAAAAGTTGTTTTTTCGCATGTCATGTCAATCAGCAAATGTCCTATAATTTGCAATATTATATAAGTTATTCTTTATTGTGTATTTATAGATTGTAAGGTTATCATGAATTTCTTAGCTCTGTAATAAGAACAAGATTCCATTCATCATTCTCAAAATGTACTCTAACCAGGGGATTCCAGGTTAGAATATAGGTCCCCAGCAACCTAAGCTTGTCATAAGAGGCAACTAGGATTGGGTCGTCAGGATCGGTGACTTACCGGTAGTTGATGCTAATTACTTCAATCACTAGATTGTCTGGTCCAGTCTTGATTATATACCATGTATACAGACCGCTGTCATATAGCTGGAATATTGCTGAGTGCATTAAACAACAAACAAACAAAAACAAAACAAATTGTACTCTGCAGTTGAGAAACCAATTTACCAATCATATACCATACACAGGGCCCGTGAAGAGGCGACTATGCTTGTAAGAGGCGACTAACGGGATCGGGTGGTCAGGCTCGCTGACTTGGTTGATGCATGTCATCGATCCCAATTGCTTGGATTGATGCTCATGATATTAATCACTGGATTGTCTTGTCCAGACTTGATTATTTACAGACCGCCTTCATATAGATGGAATATTGCTGTGTGCGGCGTTTAATAATAAACCAACCAACCACCCATGCACAGGCATGCCAGTGTCACAGTGATCTATACAGTCTATACCATTGTATGTACAAAGCAGGGATTTATCTCAATCTCAGAGACCGATATTCAGCCCAATGTCTTCAGGAATGTCTAAAAATTGGAATTAATAGAATCCGTGAAGATCTGGGTTGAAAAACGGTCTTTAGCAACCCATGCTTGTTGTAACAGGCGACTATGCTGTCGTTAGAGGCAACTAACGGGATAGGGTGCATGTCATCATATCACAATTGTGGATTGATCAGCATTAGAAATTGGCACTAGTCCTGTAGTCCTTACCAAACTGCCCAATAGTAAAGGTATCCTAAGGACTAGTAAAAATTGGCCCATTTTAAGGGTTTTGCTATATGGTATCATTATAAGGACTCGTGGACAAAAACTGTTAGTTTCTAACCCTGTTGATGCTCATGATGTCGATCCCTGGATTGTCTGGTCCATTATTTACAGACCGCAGTCATATTCCTGGAATATTGCTGAGTGCAATGTTTAACAACAGACAAGCACACAACTAGAAATTAATAATTAATCCCAATTCATGTTAATATTCATGTAATGACTTTATTGAGGTGACTTGTATTTCACTGGTAGCAGAACCAATACAAAGGAAGAACCTTAATGCTTAGTTTTGAATTATCTCACAAAATGCAATGTTAAAATGATCTAGATTTTGGAAAATAACAACTTTACGATATCCCAATTTGCCTTCCAAGGAATACTAGTTAATCTCTGGCAAGATATACAAGCCTCAGTTTGGGAAATGTTCTGTTGTAGATCTGAGTACACTGGCCAGCGTCGTGACCACCTTGGCCAACATGGGGAAGAATGAAGGGGATCAGAGCCAAGGTGGCGACCCACTCACGCCGTCAAACGGAGATTCGGAGGTGGACACCAACACAGACTCAGTGGCCAAGGCATTTGATACTCTTGCCAAGGCTGTGCAGCCTCAGTCTAATCAGGTAGGAGAACAGCCTTCATTACAACTTAGCAGTCGGTAGTGGCAGTTGACTTGTTTTTTGTAGCAGTCGCTCATATGTGTCCATTTAAATATGTGTATGTGGTCATGCACGTTCTGACCTACTATCGGGGGCACGGGTGGCCAGGTCGTCTAAGGCGCTTTGTAAGTCCCGTTTTATTAAAATATAGATCTTGATTATCAATCATATCATCTTGACTGGGTGCCACCATTTTGTTTGAAGCAAATACAAGTGATATGAGAGGTGGAGTGGAATCTGATTGGTCAATAGGAGGGACATCAAAGGGACATAAGTCCACATAATATCCACAGGTGGTGCTATGATCGAGCCCAGAAATTCTGGCCTAGTTCGGCAAGGGTGGAAACTGGACTTTTATAGTCAGTTAACACCCTTGCCTGGGGAAGATGGACGTGTTTCTGACACAGTATAGACGATCTACCTAAGGTTGTAGATGGGCAGGTGTACCTTAGTGAAGGTTACCGTTCAGGGCCTACTTGCACAAATCAATCTTAGCCCTGAGCCCATAAGTATGGGAATTATGATCGCCATAGTGCAGATGGGCCCTGGTCATTGACAGATTGGATGAAAGTTGATAAGCGAATGTCCATCAGCCAGCTGATCGTGAATCTGTATTACAGAGCAGCACGCTGGACCAGTCGGTGTCAGAGACCAGCCTCAATGAATCTGGCATGAGTACGGAGTCAGGAGATAGCAGCTTCGTCATCGACATCGAAGGTGAGTCGAAAAATGACAGTTGAGTACATCATCAAAATAAATAAATTTACTTAATAAATAATGAGAGTATGTCCATATGAGAGTATGTCCATCTTTATGAGAGGAGCTATGACGTCATACATCTAAGGTTATTTTTACATATCTATGCCATCAAAAAGCCTTAATTAAGAAAAAAATGGAAGTGGAAGTTGTTTATTATACAATAAAACACTGCAGGGAGAATAAACCATGAGGGGCGCATCCCTGAGTGGTTTATTCTACCTCCAGTGTTTTACTGTTGTATGATAAACAACGACACGATTCATTTATTTCTTTTATGAGATATCAACATTATTTACAGCCTCTTTAAGGATGTTGATAAAATTTAGAAGCTTTAAAAATATTTACTCAAGTTTTTCATTAAATAATGATTACTCCCACAATAAAATCCGGCCTCAGCAATGTCAAACAAGTCCATTTATGCATAGGTGGATATTTCCCACATATTCTCACAATTCTCACGATGATTACATGTACCTTTTCTCCCATTACCGATTGTCATATCTCTCCCACTTTTGGATGCGATTGTTCGGCCATCACATTTATCTGCGTTCACTCTCAAAAATGAAGTCGCCCAGTATACGATATCATCAACTTGCGAGCCCATGTTCGAATCTTCAGAAATGACGTCATGATAGAACAATGCTTTTCGTGAAATAAACTACAAGTTTAATCTTCATAGCTCTTTGCGATTTATCGCTAATTATCTTATATAAATAAATTAAGTGCCTTATAACATGAAATATAAATAAATATCACATAATAAATAAATCACAAAGGCCTTGAGTTTTCCACGCCCAACTGATGTTATTTGATTGAAAACAAATAGGTATTTTCAAAACCTTTGTTATTTTTTATTTAGTTACGGTTAGTAACCATAGAGTTACCTTCCTTTCAATGATCTGCTGCTGCTATTCAGAGTCAAATGTGCCTGAATCCAAGCAGATAGGACAAAGAGGGCCAAAGCTTATATCATGTCCATATGCATCTGTTGCATGGCCGTTATTTTGGGAAGGGAGCTGTGGTAATACTTTGAAAAGTGCCTGATATTTTGTGACAGAAATCCAGTACAAACCCTAGAGTACATTTGTTGCATGACATTATATAAGCATTGCCAAGATGCAGTGCAAGATATTGTGATACTTGCTGCATACTTGAGGAAGTAGGCTGGTCAAAGGGGGGCAACTCTTGTCACCCTATTGGACTCATTACTAAAGCACACAGATAAGAGCACATGCAAGTATCGTGATACGTATCGGATCATGAGCTAGGTATTTTGATATGTATCGGATCGCACAGTTGGTGAATTGTCCGGCCCTTTATAATTGTGTTTTTTTTTTAGGTAATCTGGCAACTTTTATGTTGGCCAAAATGCGTACATGATGAATGGTTCTGTTTTCAGGTCCTATTCTCTCCGAATCCAACTTCCAGTTCAACCTGACGACTCCATCTCCCATGCCCGCGTACCTGAATGTCCATTACATATGTGAGAGTGCGTCACGCCTTCTCTTTCTCTCCATGCACTGGACACGCTCAATCAACGCCTTTCAGATTCTCAAGTAAGATTTGTTTGTTTGTTTGTTGGTTAACACCACACTCAGCAATATTCGAGCTATATGACGGTGCTCTGTAAATATTCAAGTGTGGACCAGTGGACAATCCAGTGATTGACATCATGAGCATCGATCTACACAATTACATGCATCAGCAAAGTCAGCGAGCTTGACCACCTGATCCTGTCAGTCGCATCTTATGACAAGCATGGGTTGTTCAAGACCAATTCTAATCTTCAAGGGGGACAAACACTGCCATTCTTGAGTTTTGAATTTTTTGGAGTAATATTATGCCCCTTGTTGGATATTATATTTTTATAAGGGTTTTTATTTCAGATAAAATAAGTTAATGGGCTCTCAACCCTATGTGAAATGTTTTTAAGCCAACTGAAAATAAGAAGAAGGAAAGGAGAGGTGTAGTCAATACACACCAGTGGTTTAATCCAAATATACAATGGCCACCAGACCAGAAGTCAGATTACTATTGTAACCATCTTTGATTATTTCAGCCCTGACCTGCAGACAACAATTGTGCGGTCGTGTTGGAGTGAGCTGTTCTGCCTGGGCCTAGCACAGTGTTCCAACACCATGTGCCTGTCAACCATCCTGGCGGCCATCTTGAACCATCTCCAGGCCAGCCTGCAGCAAGGTACAAACACTAACACAGGTTCGGGGCATTCTCTAACACTCTCTGTCTCCATGTACGCTGCATGCCCTTGCCACATCTGCACGTTTGCACTAATCTGCTTTGTAGCTGAAATGGATAGAATTATCATTTAACCGCCCGCATGTTATCAAAAATGAGCGGGCCACTGTAACTTGATAATGCCCTCATATTGCTTGACGACGGGCCATTATCACGCCTGTTGTTAGGTGACGTCATAGGATAGGGATAGATGGCTTCACGTTCAATAGTGACGTCATCTGGTTTGTTCTATTACGTTTCCATATTTGTAAAAGTTGGTCAGTGACATTGGTGTTGATTGTAGTAAATGTTTCAAAACCGATATTGTTGTTTCTTTTTATTTTATAACAAATTCCATCCATTTTAGCTATAATAACGGTAACGCTATTTTTCAGGGCATTATCATTTGCAGAAGCCCTCGGTCTTTTCAACTGCCCTCCTTCGTCGGGCAGTTAATGGAAGACCTCAGGCTTCTGCAAATGATAATGCCCTGAAAAATAGCGTTACCGTTATAGTAAGCTCACACGTCATCCTCCTGACAAGCATGACTAGCTGTGTTCCTGCATGCTTCAAGCATCCTTTCTCAGCTTTGAACCATGTTCTATGCCTACCGTATTTGCCATAATAAGCAGCACTCTGGGCACTCAGAAAAATTGAAAAGGGAGGTGCTTATTAAGACCTCATGAAAGTTGAACTTGTTGTCAGAGTATTTGGAGCATGTTCTAAACATACCATATTTGCCACAATAAACACTCTGGGTGCTCAGAAAATTATAAAAAGTGAGTTGCTTATTAAGACCACATGCAAGTTATATCTGTTGTCAGAGTAAGATGGAGCATGGGAAAAGAGGTGCTTATTAAAACTACTCTGCAAAGATTGTGTCTCATTGATAACCAGGCCTTTAAAGACAAAAAGGTTTAATAATTGGTTTCAGAAATTATTCCCAATTTTGGATAAAGTAACTGTTTCCTGTTTCCATACCACTGAGACTAACTTGAAAATCCGAAATATACCCCTAATGTCTATATTTTCAGATAGTTTAACGCTCTGAATTTTCTGCATCTTCCTTTGCCAATGATGCGAACTGTTTGTTATGCTGTCAGCTTTCGCTTTTGCTTTGTCAATGTATTTTTCTCAATTTCAACATAAGTCTATCAGTGGCCGTCTTGATTACTTGTGTGCTCACCGGCTCCATGGTGTAGTGGAGAGAGCATCTGCCCAGAGAGCAGAAGGTCCAGGGTTTGATCCTCTTCTGCATCATACTAAAAAATCTTAAGAGATGTCACTTGTTGTTGCCATGCCTGGCGCTCGGCATAAAATGGATAAATAAGTGCAGTGTGGACTGGAAGGCAGAGTCCAAACTGGTACTAGCAGCCACACACATACGTTTGTGACCATATAAGTTATTTATTATATAACGAGACTATAATGTGATGTGAAAAAGGGTTTAATGTTGCGTCTAAGATTATTGCGCTTATATAGTGACGTGTGTGTGTGTATGTATGTGTGTGGCTGCTTGTACTAGTCCAGACTAATGCAGATTGTATGGTGCTAAACCCACTGAGATACCATGCCGCAGTTTAACATAAATACCCCACTCAGACACAGTATACTGACTCTGAGCTGACCAGTCCTTGTTTTAGCTCCTTAATGCCGATGCCAGGCAGATTAATAAGTACCATCTTTTAACGTCTTTTGGTATGACGTGGACAGGTATTGAACGTCAGACCTTCCGCTCTTTGAGGAGATGCTCTTCCATTAGACCACAGAGGCAGTCACAACGCGACTTTAAACACCATTTCACCTCACCTATTAATTATTATGTGATATCTCTGGAATAATGGTGACTGCATCGTTAAACAACATTCACTCGCTCACACAAATTAAATGGATTTGGTTCTCAAAAACTATCTAAGTTAGAGAAATGAAATTTTACACACTGATATTACAGTACTGTTCATGATCTTAAATGATTTCGAAAATTGGTTCTATTCATTTTTTACAGAGTTATGGCCCTTGCTACATGTTTTTTCAACTTTGTGCAAATTAGTACTACTGAAGTTACAGTAATGAGAGTTACGACCCTTGATCCATGTTATTTTACTTAGTGATAGTGTCTGCAAGGTGGACAAGTTTTCTCAGAAATTGCTGAAGTTACGTGAATGAAACTTTGCAAGCTTATCTAAGAGATACTTATCAAGACTAAGTTCAAAAATTGGTGCCATAAATTATTTTTTCCCTTGCTACTGGTCTATTTTGTGGCCCTGTCTTCAATGAGGACAAGTTTTATGCAAAACTACATGAAAGTGTGCATGTTTATTAAGACATACTTGTCAATATTGAGCTAAACTTTTAGTGCTGTAAAATTGTTTTTCTATGTTATTTGACTTAGTGCATAATTGCTGCAATGGGGACATATTTCCTCAGAAACTAATGAAGTTACATGAAATAAACTTTGCAAGCTTATCTAAGAGGTACTTGTCAAGACAAGTTTAGCATTTGATACCGTAATTATTTTTGTTCTGGAGTTACCCCCCTTTCTCCTGCTTTAGATTTTGTGCATCCCTTTTGCAATGCATACTTTTAGAAAATCAGTATTGATGTAAATGCCTCATTCTAATGTGCCCCATGGCAGGGGATAGTGATAATGCTGTGTTCTTGTTGTTACTCTGACTTTCCTTTTCCAGAGAAAGCCGACCAAGACAAGGTGAAGGTTGTGATCGAGCATATCATTCGCCTGCAGGATTACATCACTGCCATGTCCCAGCTCCAGGTCACCTCAGCTGAGTACGCCTATCTCAAGACTCTGGTCCTCTTCTTCTCAGGTAATAACCACTCCTCAACTGGCTTCGGTTCCCTAAACATGTTCCCAGAATGAAAGACTAGTGGTTCGATCCCCGGCCACGTCATGCCAAAAGACGTTTACGATGGTTCTTGTTGTTACCCTGTTGACGCTCAGCATTAAGGGGATAAAACAAGGACAGTCAGTTGGCATACTGTGTGTAACTGGGGTATCCATGTTCAACTGCAGCATTGAACAGTTGCTATTGAGTTGGGGTTTTAATGCTGTTTTTAACTGTATTCCAGTTATATCACGGCGTGTCAGCTTAATGTGGGAGGAAAGCCCCAAGTGATACAGGTCTCAGACGTTTACCACTTCTGTAGAACCCACGAGCACGGGTATGGTGCCGACAAACCTAGATACATAATCGGGGCGAACTGGGATTCGAAAACACAATCATAGGTTTCTGGTGTGCCCAAGGGACACAACTCTGCACAGCAAATCGCAGCGCCTTAGACGACTGGGCCACCCGTGCCTCCTTGCAGCATGGTACCACAGTGGGATTGCACTATAAAAGGGGCATTAGTCCGGACTAGTACAAACTACACACGTCCATGGATGTCAATGTATAAGTGCATTATTTTTTAATGTGACGTTAAACCATATTCGAATTTGCGACCTGGGTTTGTGTCCCTTAGCCATGCCAGGATCCGCTACTCATGGGGTTGAAGTCTTAATGGCTCTTGGTTTGTCAGCACCATACCTGCACACATGAGTGTCACCAAAGTGGCAGAAGATAACAATTGACTCATCTCTCACATTAAGCTGAAGCACCATAACCGTGATAATATATCTGAAATACTGTTTAAGACAGTGTCAAACCCAACTCACTCACTCATTCACTCACTTGTCTTGGACCTCTGAACATCCGGGGTAGAAAAGGTCTTCAGCAACCCATGCTTGCCGTAAAATGCAACTATGCTTGTTGTAAGAGGCGACTAACGGTTCGGGTGTTCACACTAGCTGACATGGTTGATACATGCCATCATTTTCCAGTTGCGTGGGTCGATGCTCATAATGTCAATCACTGGATTTTCTTGTCCAGACTGGATTATTTATTGTCATGTAGCTGGAATATTGCTGAGAGCAGCGTTAAACAACGAACAAACCAATACAAATAACAGACCGCTGTGATACTGCTTGAATTAGCTGAATGAAACATTTAACAACATCACTCACTTTTTAACTGTATTCATCCTTCAGACAACCCCAACATCCGGAATAAGCGTCAGATCGAGAAGCTCCAGGACAAGACCAGTAAGGAGCTTGTGCAGCATGTCCAGGCTATGGGATCCTCCTCTGAGCGAATAGCCAAACTGTTGCTGCGTCTTCCCCCACTCAAAACATTCAGCCCAAACACAATGGAAGAGCTGTTCTTCTCCGGACTGATTGGCAGCGTTCAAATCGACAGCATAATTCCCTATATTCTGCGGATGGAGACTGCAGAGTACAACCTACAGATGACAGGGCAGCTTCTCTCACCCGCCCAGGGACAAGCTACGGAATACAGCATTCATTCTGTCAACGGTCTGCCCGCACAAGGCACCGTCTTGCAAGACTTCAACGCTTCAGTGATTAACGGGCCAGCTGCCCAGGTCCTGCAGGCACAGACAATAACCCCGGGGACAAGCGCGTGACATACACATGACCTTGACCTCAGTTACTTTGGTCAGGAGTGATGTTCATTTTTAAAGTCAGCTGACATTTTATTTTCACCAGCAGGTGATGTGAGCATGATCAATTCTTAATATATATTTTTTTTGGTTTTTTTTGGAAAGGAGGCGTCCTTGACCTTTGACAGGATTTGCAACTCCATTATAAAGTGCTATGGAACAGACAATTAACTGGATTCTTTCTTGCAACTGACAACAGCATGAGAGATGAGGCTGTTCATTATTTAAGATAGCTTGGATCTATTAACGTATACCCTGGTGCTGTGACATGTTGTAGAATACTTGATATTGCGTTGCCAGTGAGAATAAGTCATGCTCTGTTTTTCGTGTGATCTGGAACACGTTATCTACTGGTGGTGAAGTTTGACACGAGGGACACCTACAGACGCGCGGAACCTGATTTTGATTTTTTGCCTGTGTGATTATCTTGAAGATAAATAATCATTATCATCTTCAGTGTGATTCTTGGTTTCTGTTCCACAAGTTATCTCATTACTAAGCTTTTTTGAATGATCACATTGTGAAGATCCTTTGAAGGGTCAAAGTTCCTATTGAAAGGGTCGTTAAGATCTTTTGGATGGTCTGAGAAGTAAGATATATAAGATGGCCATACTTTTATGATCTTTTGAAATGTCATTGTGCTGAATTCCTGTTCAGGATTTGGAATATGGTAAAATCATTTGAATTCGAATTTTAAGAACAATTTTATACGGCTTTTGCTAAGATATTTTGAAGAGTCAGACTATAAACACCTCGGGTCTGAGATTTTCTTTGATCTCTACTGCCAAGATTGTTAGTGGATCAGAAACCAAGTCAAGGGGAGACAACTAGGGACTAAGCATTTGAGAGGAGACATGGCTAAGTATTTATTTTGATGGTTATTGCACTGAATCATATCAATGTATTATATATCCACTGGGCGTCTTTGCGGTCAATTTACTGCATTATCCATGGTTGTGGCCAGGCTTTCAACCCTCTGGCCCCAAACATGTATAGATGAAAATGTTACTACTTTTGAAATTGTAGCTGTATCTCTGTTGACTCTTCGACTAGTGTAAGGACTGATGGGGTGGTCTAATGGTTAAGGTTTTCGTAGGTAGGACCTAAGACATGGGTTCAATTACCCATATGGGTACAGTGTATTAAGCCTATTGATGCACCTGCACCAACTGTAATTATGTTGGAATGTTGCTAACAGCGGAAAACTCTGTTCTCGGTTACTAATCCAAGCTCCTTCGCAGCGTGTGACACCTTCGTTACCATTCGGGTATCATCGCTGCCACCAGGGTGCAAGTGACCATTTCAGAAGTTTTGAGCATGTTCCTCCTAACCCAAATGTAGTAACATGTATTTTTTTGGTATATCTTTGGGAAGGTTTTACGACTGACTTACTATTTCCCTCATTTTACATTTGTTGGCTGGTTGGAGATTGCAAGGGAACAGCGACCTTTCCCCCCTGCATATTCACTTATGCTACTTACTGAAATGAAATAGAAATTCAAATTGATAAACAAACAATATATTTCAAGTGGTGAAGAGTATTCAGTGTCACGACAGTCATCACCTGTTTGTAAACATAACAGTCTGGTGGTTGCGAGGTCAGCTCCATGCATGGTTGTGGCTGCCTTGCACAGTCGGGAGCTGTGATGGGTGGCAGCGATAGTATAGAATTTGCGAACAGGCTGTCGCTGTGAGGAGCGAACAGGCAATCGCTGTGAGGAGCCTGTCAACAAAATGATTACTTCAGTTTTTTTACAATCACAAAAAAAACTCCAGAGGAGAATTCTTTCAAAAAACATTTTCCTTTTTTATTCACATGCAAAATATATAATATATATAATATGCACTGTCAAACCCTTGGGCTAGGGGGTGATAAGCACGAGAGGGAGTTGGATAGGGAGAAAGAGAGAGACATAGCGATACATATGCATAATTAACTGATACATGGTTTGCAGTTTACAAGTTAATGTTTAGGTATAAAGATGTTTAGGTATAAAGAAGTTTAGGTATAAAGAAGTTTAGGTATAAAGAAGTTTAGGTCTAACACATGTCCTAAGATTAACGACAACAGCCAAATTAGACAAGGACCCTTAGATTTCCCTTAATTCTAACACTGAATTTATTTTTCGGTTTATTTTTGTCAAGATTCGCCAGTTCAGTTTATAATGTGATTGTAGTGATATTTCAAGTGACATTATCATGGTTTCTTGTGTCTTTTTTCAATAGGGGCCGTGAGTTGTCTTTTCAGAACACTGTAAATACCTTATATGTTGATGTGTTGAAAGCAAAGACTCTCAATTTCTTTTGTCTCCAGCTTGAATATAAAGGTTGTTTTCTCTGACCATGACATGTAAAGCAGAGGCACTTACATATTTCCATATCATAAAACTGTATGACAGGCAGCAGAAAATCACTTCATCCGATAGTTCTCATTTTTAGACAGACAACCATTACTCGTTTCACGGGTTGCAGCCATTGCCCATAGCATGATATTATGTGATATTTATTCACAATAACCTGAAAGCAGGTTTCTAATTCAGTTTTGATATTACACAATAATAAAGCTGTTTTTGACACAGGCCAGAATGTCAAAAAGTATCAGTCTTATTCTAGTTATAGACTGGGGTTCATAGGTTTATATATATATATATATATATATATATATATATATATATATATATATATATATATATATATATATATGTTTTGTGGATTTAACAAACAAACAAACAAACAAACAAACAAGATGTCCTTACACGACCCTTCTAGAATACCTTCAAAGTCAGTTGTCATCAGTCTGTTCGGGTTGTCATATGAATGGCAGCCATCTTGGATTGGAGCTCCCTGCACTCAGTGACTCCAACCCTAGGAGACACAGACTGTATTTGTAAGAAGTGTTTTGATTGGCTGAGTGTAGACTCTCATTATGCAGAAAGCATACTGTGTAAAGACTTGAAACTTTTATGAATCACATCTTTTTTCATGTTTGTAATGTTTCAGGGCTACTGCTTGCCTGATCATTCACCTGGGGCGAGAAATAGAAATAGCATTCACCTGGTGAAGGGGCAAGACATAGCATTCACCTGGTGAGGCGGCAAGAAATAGCATTCACCTGGTGAAGGAGAAAGAATAGCATTCACCTGGTGAGGGGGCAAGAAAGAGCATTCACCTGGTGAAGGGGCAAGACATAGCATTCACCTGGTGAAGGGGCAAGAAATAGCATTCACCTGATAAACGGGAAAGAATAGCATTCACCTGGTGAAGGGGCAAGAAAGAGCATTCACCTGGTGAAGGGGCAAGACATAGCATTCACCTGGTGAAGGGGCAAGAAATAGCATTCACCTGATAAACGGGAAAGAATAGCATTCACCTGGTGAAGGGGCAAGAAAGAGCATTCACCTGATAAACGGGAAAGAATAGCATTCACCTGGTGAAGGGGCAAGAAAGAGCATTCACCTGATAAACGGGAAAGAATAGCATTCACCTGGTGAAGGGGCAAGAAATAGCATTCACCTGATAAACGGGAAAGAATAGCATTCACCTGGTGAAGGGGCAAGAAAGAGCATTCACCTGATAAACGGGAAAGAATAGCATTCACCTGGTGAAGGGGCAAGAAAGAGCATTCACCTGATAAACGGGAAAGAATAGCATTCACCTGGTGAAGGGGCACGAAGTAGCATTCACCTGGTGAAGGGGCACGAAGTAGCATTCACCTTGTGAAGGGGCAAGATTGAGCCCTGCAACGTCCTTACAAACAATAGAGAAGTTGTAGCAATTAAAGTTTAAATATTCATGTTCTACCAACTTCTAAATCAAAGACTTGAGCATATTACATGCCCATGCAGGTTACATCAAGGGACCAGTGTTCCACCACAATGGAGCATTAACTGGTTCACTAGGCTTCATAAAGACAACACGCAGTTATTAGTGAAAACAGGACACTACGGTAATTTAGTATCATGTGACTTGGTCCTCGGGGTGTAAACGATTGGAAGTTTTAGTATGCATAATTTGATAATTAATATAAATATTTTGATTAATAATAAAATTAATTTTTCTTTAGGTCTAGGTAAAAAAATACTTATAGACCCAGAAGTCGATCCAATGCTAGATATGAATGAGGCTGATCCATTAAATGTTTAAAATTGAATATTCTGCCATCAATTGTCCATCTTGGAAATCTTAATAAATGTGAATGCTTCTGTTGTAATGAATAATAATTTAGTATTGATAGTCATAAATCTGTGTCAATACAGCATCAACAGTAAAACGTTACCGAAACATCGATATCACGATATACAATGACAAACAAATTGATACTGTTCACAACACACAGTATTATACAGTACTAATACTGATTAGTTTTAGGTTAATAGCCAAATCATTGTTGTAAGTCGTTGAAATTTTATCAAGATTATGCTGGCTGTTTTGAATGTTGAGAAATGTGCATTCATCGCATGTGCCTGTTTATGTGCAAAAGTGGAATGGTAAACTTTCTCCAGTGACTGGAGTAATGGTTCCGTGAGGACTAAATCCAAATCCAGAACTCACCTGATTCGTTTGTAACCATGGCAACCATGTGTAATGGTTTTTTTGGATGTTTTTGAAACTAAACATGTCTACCTGTCACAAATATTGTGTTCAAAACAAGCATAATAATAATCCTGAATTGTTTGTGTTTTTTGCTCTCATTAACCCTTTCCTTGTTGAAGGAATCCCTGACACAAATAGAACTTACTGGATTTCATCAGACTAAGGGTTAAGTTCATAGTTTCTCCCTAACATTATTTTTGCTTCTTTTTTTTGTCTTTTGTCACAGATGTTTGTCATATCAATTAAATTGTCGGTAGAAATGTGACATGAACCGTATTCATCCTTGGCATCGTCAGATGTCATATCATACCTGTGTTGATGACGAGCGTGTTAACACCTGTCATTAATCAGATGTTTTTGTTTTTATCATGTCTTTCATTCATGTATACCTTCTTCATCTTTGTCTCAATTTATTGTTCATTCTGTCTAGATTTGTGGACGGCGACTAACAAAATAAGAGTTCCGTAGCGGAAATTCTTTCCTAACATCTTTCCATTTCCTCGTCTCTCTCGTCATTGTATTATTGATACATTTGTACATTTCATGTGTTGAATATTGTATTATAGTTATTATTGTGAGTTTTATAACCTTGAGTCATTGTGTTAAATACTTGTGCTAAACAAGTTTGTGTATATATATAAATATATCTCCACAGCTGTTTCTGCTACAAGCAGCATTGTATATTTTGCTTCAGTGTGTTGTCCCTCAGTGTGTGAATTGTGTCATAAATTGTGTCATAAATTGTGTTGAAATTGATACCAAATTAAGCTATACAGTTTATCATGTAACAGATCATACGACTGGAATACTTAATACAAATTCAGTTTTTTTTCAAAGAAATGTTTGCAATTGTGAAAAAAACATTTCACTTATATTTGTTCTAAACGTTAGAGTTGTACAGTCCATCCCTGTTTGGATTGTTTGGATCACAATTTGTAACTTGGATTCAGTACAATCCATCACAATTTGTAACTTGGATTCAATACAATCCATCACAATTTGTAACATGGATTCAATACAATCCATCCCAATTTGTAACTTGGATTCAATACAATCCATCACAATTTGTAACTTGGATTCAGTACAATCCATCACAATTTGTATCTTGGATTCAGTACAATCCATCACAATTTGTAACTTGGATTCAATACAATCCATCCCAATTTGTAACTTGGATTCAGTACAATCCATCACAATTTGTAACTTGGATTCAGTACAATCCATCTCAATTTGTAACATGGATTCAGTACAATCCATCACAATTTGTAACTTGGATTCAATACAACCCATCCCAATTTGTAACTTGGATTCAATACAATCCATCACAATTTGTAACTTGGATTCAATACAATCCATCACAATTTGTAACTTGGATTGAGTACAATCCATCACAATTTGTAACTTGGATTCAGTACAATCCATCACAATTTGTAACTTGGATTCAATACAATCCATCAGAATTTGGACTTGTCTCTCTGTCATTCAAGGTGGTGGAATATTGCTGAGTGCGGCGTTAAACAACAAACAAACAAACATTCAAGATGGGAACACCCTGCATGAGAGTTGACCGTTAACACAACTCCAGAATATTAATAATCGTTTATCCTTCTCTCCTATAACTGGTCCCTAAACCTCCCATAAACATTTATCCATCCTGCTGTAAGTCTTCATCCCACCCCACCCTAGCCATTCACCCGATCAGACAAAGCACACATAACCCAATCACTAAACCCAAGCCACAGAATGACAAGGGAATATTCCAATATCATCCCTCTCTCAACATGCTAGGCAATGGGGCCCTATTGACTGAGAGTTGGCTTGTCATGCCAAGATCCCAGGTTCAGTTCCCCCAAATGGGTGCAATGGGTCCATGCCAAGATATGACTAGAATATGATACAACATATACCCACACTCCCTCACACACTCTCGGTATTGGTATAAAGTTTGAGAAGTGACTCCCTGCCCACAGATGATGGACTATTGAAATATTCCCCTGCATCATGAAGATGACCTCTCCTCAACCACATCTCTAACACTGTGTGCAGTACTGCAAGCATTTCACCCACCTTTCTATGTTGATCTTTTAAATGTAGATTTTATCCTGTGAATATTTATTTAGTGTTCCAAATTTAGAGTAGTATCTTTGTATACCATGTTGATGCCTAGCATCAGACAAGTGTACACGCCCATGACTCAGAGTCATACCTCTCCCTTTCTGACATCATTGTACATTTGTTTGTTTTAACAGGTTTTAGACCTTTAGCAGTTAAGACTTCACAGTTACCAGATAATATATATTAAAGTGGGATGTGTAAACACTATTTTCAACTTAGATTTTAAATATTGTATGCATTGTTTGACTGTTTGGCAGTTATTTTGCTATTAATGTATTTATTTTGTTTGTTGTTTTGGTATATTATTCTCCGAAATGTGACGTTAACATTCACCTGATATAGAAATAGTTTGGTCAAAGAGACGTACACATGTTTTTTAAAATGAATGTTAAGGAAAGTTGAAACGTAGTTGTGTTTGTGAAATTGGAAAGGTTTTTCATGGGGAGTCAGCTCATAGGCTGATGTAGATCATTTTCTGTCAAATGGATGAATATAATCTGTCTATTAGGGCTGGGATGAGTCCGAATTTACTACCCGGGTACCCACCCCCCTCTTACCCACCCCCCTCTTACCCGACCCTACCCGGGTACCCACAGTAGGTCTCAAGAGATAGGTACAAAATGTCCAATTGGGCATTTTGTTACCATAGCACTGGCAAAACATATTTAGATACATGTATTAAACAATCTGGTCATGCATACACTGAAGTTGACTCAAGTTATATCTTTATTCAAAGATATGAAATGTCAGAAGAAATGCGAAGATTTGTGATTCGTAGTGTAACCATAGTGTTCTAGGTACTTTTTTGTCGTTAAACAATATATCACGTGACTATCCACGGGTCCGGGTAGTCCTGTGGGTACCCACCCGACCCGGGTACCCGAGTTACCCGTCCCAGCCCTATTGTCTTTGTGTAGACACAAGTGCCATTATATCGC